TTATGTTGAGTACTCTGTAACTTCGAAATCTGAGCTACAAACGTCGCGTTAAAGCGTTCTACAACTCCGTTTGTCTGAGGATGATAAGCAGTGCTATAAATATGGTTATAGCCTATGAGTTTCTGTAAATTTTCCATCAGTTTATTTTGAAAATGTGTTCCTCGATCACTAAGAATAATTGAAGGTATACCAAACTTACAGAAAAAATCATCAAATAAGGCGCGTGCTGTAGTTTCGGCTGTACAATTAGGAAGAGCTATTGCAGTTATATGTCTCGTAAAATAATCTGTAATAACAAGTACATATTGGTTCTCACGTGGAGTTCTAGGTAAAGGTCCACAGAAATCAATACCTATTAATGCTAATGGTCCTTCTGGCGGTGGAATAGAACGTAAATGACCATATTTCTTAGTACGACTTAAATTAAATTGTGTACATAAACTACAAGACTTTACATAACGTTGAATGGTGGTTTTCATTTTTGGCCACCAAAAATGAGTACGAATTTTATAATACATTCGATCTGTAGCGAAATGTGAACCTGACATTGGATCATCATGCGATGCTCGCAACAATGACTCTATCATAGAAGTAGGTAAATATATAACTTTAATCTTTTTATGAGAATATTTATTTAATGAAATAAGTTTATAAACTATATCCTCTTTGAATAGAAAGGAATTCTTAGTAGATTCTAAACTAAAATTTTGAACTATCTTTTGTATTTGAGGATCTCGTTGTTGTTCAATTTTTAACTTCGCTATATCGAAATAGTTACATGAAAGATTAGAAGATGATTTGTTCTTTTTTATATCTTCGGACTGAGATAATGTATCGAACTGTTGAGAAATGATGTTATGATTCTCAATGGATTGTTGATTGTTTGTAGCTATAGGTTGTTTTTTACGTGGTCGTAGAGTCATAGCTGCTACAAGTTTTCGCTGACTAAAATTTTTTGATTTATTTTTACTAGCTAGTCCATAGTCAATATCAAATAACGCATCGTCTTGTTCTTTAGAATAACGAGAAAGATAGTCCGGTAGACAATTATAACGACCTTGAATGTGTACTATCTTATCAATATTGTATTCTTGAATTAAATGAGTTATTCTATTGACTCTAGTATTTTTTATAGACTTTTGCATAATGTAGCATAACGGACAATGATCAGTCATGATAATTATACTACGTCCTAGAACAAAAGATCTCATACGTTCTAAACACTTATAAATAGCTAGTGCTTCTTTTTCTATAGTACTATATTTCTTCTCACACGTTGTCATAAGTTGAGAATGATAATAAAGATTATGAATATTGCCGTTTACTTCTTGCTGTAAAACGCCACCAATACCTATATCACTAGCATCTGTAGTTAGAATCAAAGGTAAATGATCTACAGGATAGTGTAAAAATAAAGGCTCAGTAATAAGCATCTGCTTAAGCTGTCGAAAAGCTTCTGACTGAGGATTTTCCCATTTAAATTTTCGTCGATTAGATTTTGTTAGATTAGTAACAGCATGTATTGGGGCAGCTATGTCGGCAAATTTCGGTAAAAATTTCCGATACCATCCTAAAGATCCTAGAAAGCGATTAGCTTGAGCTAAGGTGTGCGGTTCTTCTATATTTAAAATAGCGTCTATTTTTGCTCTCATTGGCTTAATACAATCTTTAGTAATAGTATGGCCGAGATAATCGATTTGTCTAACAGCTATTTCACATTTAGGCGGGTTTAATACTAAGCTTTTTGATTGTAATGCTGAAAATACTTGTTTTAAGTGATCTAGATGCTCCCAAAAGGATGTTGAAAACACTATTATGTCATCTAGATAAACGAGACAAAACGAACGACACGACTTCAGTGTATCAGTCATGACTTTTTGAAAAGTCGGAGGAGAATTACGTAATCCCATTGGGAGTACGTTAAACTGATAAAGACCGAATGGTGTTATGAAAGCTGTCTTTTCTTTATCGTTGTCGTCTATTGGTATCTGATAGAAACCTGATTTAAGATCAAGTTTAGAAAAATAGCTGAAACCTTTTCCTAACTTCCTTAAAGTATCTTCCATATTTGGAAGTGACGAAGAATCTTTAATGGTTATAGCATTAAGTCGTTTATAATCAACTACTAATCTATATGATTGATCTTTTTTCTTAACAAGTATTGCTGGAGCAGCATACGGAGAATTAGATTGAGTAATGAGACCTGCTGTTAAAAACTCCTGAATAAGCTTATACATCACCTCCTCCTTATCCGGTTGCGGATATGGTCTACTAGATGGAGGTGAATGTGGAATAGTATTAATAATATGTGATTTAGGTGTTCGAGCTATATTATG